TTTGATAGACAAATGTACAAAAAGGTATGTCCCTATAGATAGTGGTGATAAAATACTTTCTGTTGAAAAACATTGATCTGTTGGATAGTTGTCGAAGAGTTTTTATTTAACAGATTTCTGCTTCCCAACCTCCCACATAAGTTGTCTGGTCAGATGGAACTCAGATTCGACCTGCCCACATTGTTTTGTTCTCACATTGATCGTCAACGAATTAGTGAAGTGCGGACACACAAGTATTCAAACGCAGACAATCTATGTTTGCTGAACTTTTCTCTATGAGAAAGAGAATATACTTTTACGTACATGTTTGCAATTTTTTAGGATGATAATTTACCTCATTTGAAATGTTTCTCATTAATATATTATAAGAAAACTGATGCGTACGATAATCGAATACTTCCTCTTCTTCGTCGTATGACATATTTGGAAAAATTAACATTATATCTTCGTTTGCATAATCGAAATATATTTGTTAATGGTACTCATCTTCATCGAGAAATTCTTATGCATATGTCACAACTTCATACATTCATTTTTTATATAAGTACGGAAATTGAAATCAATGATTCAATTGATCATTTATCTGATAATGATATTCAACAAACGTTTACAAATATAGGTTATCATCGAATAGCTTGTGCTGTAAATTATTACTGTAAATCCAAAGCAATATGTCATGTTTTCTCACTTCCGTTCGTATTTGATCGTCTTATCAAGATCTGCAATCATTTTCCAGCTGTGATATATGAACATGTTACGGAACTGACGATACTTGATGACATTCTATTTAATTATGAATTTATCGTGCGTATTAGGAAGGCTTTCCCATCACTGGACGATTTGACCATTATCATTCTTCAACCTCCATCAGTTGAGTTTGGTCGAGATGAACTTGAATTCAGTCAATCAAGTGCAATTATGAAATACCTTCATCTTACTAGACTTACTCCTTCGTATGAAAGTGATGACTATTTATAAGAGAACTTTACCAGAGATACAACATGACACAACTATCTTGATATAAAACTAATAAGTTTTGAAAAGATTATTAATTATTCAAATGAATTATCTCTGTAGATTTTTTCTGATTATTTGAAAAATAAAAACTCTCATATTGCGTTATATCTAACTAAATAGTTATGTATGTAAAGAGAAAACGCATATTTTTCATTCTTTGAAAACGAAAAAATATTGATCGATATGAATTAAAGTACTAAGTTCTTTAGATGACAATAAGTCATTCTAATCCAACATTAATGCAAATTAAATAATGATATTCTTATGGTTTATATAAGATGTTCACTCATATCGAAGATCTCTATTGAACGATCACCTATAGTTTACCGTTGACTTTCTATCATTGACTCTATATTATGTATATTACGTTACTACACAAGATGTCGAAGTAGTCTCATTCGCTATCCATCACTCTTATTTGTATGCTAGCACAAAAAAATCATGATAGTCCTGCTATATGGTCTTGGTGTAAACGTTTTTTTTTTTCATTTATATTGACACCAGGAATATTTCTCTACATATAAGCTTATATCTATTTGTACAAAATATGATGAAAATGCTAGATACGTCTGAACTCCTATATTATTATCGCTGATGTGCTTGGATTCAAAATGATATTCCGTGCGTCATCCCTCATATGGTAGCGACTGTTAGGATTCATTTCCATCATTCACTCTCCAGGTTATCACCTGATCTTTCGGTATAGATTCTGTCTCGAAATATCAATAACTGATGCACACAAAAACTACCGAAACTTCTTTGTGAAATTCTCTCAGGATACTATTAAGATCTAGTATATTCTCTATTCACTACTTTATGGAAACTCCAAATCAAACTCTTACCATTAAACCATAGACGAGACACATCTGTCTTCAAAAAACACTATTTCGATGCTTCGATCTTTTCAATTTTCACATATTCGACAGAAGGTATGATTTTCAGAAATTTACTTTAATCGATTGTACATTCACAATCGATCCAATAAGTCAAAGGATTGAAATCAGACTAAAATTGTGTCATTTTCATCGTTTTCTAATGGAACAATGATCGACTTTAATCTGATTCTTCCTTAGAATTTTTTATATGGGAACTAGAATTGAACATAGGACAATATCTTCTGTCCTGTCATGTGCTCATCTCTGACGGCAAAACATATATATGACTAATTCGCATTCTTAGGTTTCACTTCTTTTGTTAAAAGATGACGCTATGAAATAGTTATCAAGTCAATATATCATCAATAAAAATACATTTTCATCTTTTTGAAAAAATTTTAATGAGTTTTTAGTTATGATCTATAAAAAGTAATTCTGATTCTAATCGACAAAATTTCTTCGAAATATTCTAATTGGTGATCTATACTATACCATGTTGGTTAATTCAATGGATAAGGTATAACATCTAACTATTCATTTCATATCAGAAAATTCTATTAGTCTATTTCTATAGATGATGTGGACTGACGACGACGATTCCGATGAAGATCAACAACAGAATACATATCGAAACAATGATCAAATAACACAAGGATATTCAAATAAAGGAAAAAAAGACAAATGTAATTGTCGTCGAGGATGTTCAAAACGTTCTTGTTGTTGTTTTAAATTTGGTAGTGGATGTAACACATCATGTGGATGTGGCACATCTTGTCAAAATATGTTTAATTATCTGGATTATTTCTTTGGTGAAGATGGAGCATATAATGCAAATTCTTGTTTTACAAAATGGCTTATCAAACATGCTAAAAATGCAGATGAATTAAAAATGATTGATCGAGAGAAATTACATCGATCTATCATGCAATCTCCAAGTTATCAAAAAGTACGTAAGGATGAAGAATTTGCTGATTGGATGAAACAATGGTGTAAAATTAGTGAATACGAAGAAATAGAACATATTCAAAAATTTTTTCGAATGCTTGTATCAAATGATACATCAAATTATTATTATTCATTTTGTTATAATGATGTACGTCGAAACGATCCTCATGGATTTTATAATAAATGTCAAAAATCTTGGTATTATAGAGAATGATATTCGATACAAATGTATGTAGTAATGATCGTTATTTGGAAATAACAATTTTATGAATTTATTTTAGGTACTTATGGTGTTCGCTTGTCATGTACAAAATATCAAAGAATAAGTAACATATTGACGTAGTTTTGTTTAAAACGTTAAAGAAGATTTATTAGATGTGATGTTTTTTTCTTTGTAATAATTATGTTTCTTATGTTATGTTAATAATTCAATAAATGATTTGTATAATGATGATTATTAAAACGATTGATGTTAGATAACCAATATCATAAATCTTTGTTCGAATGAGTTCTCATTTATATAGCTAAAGGAGCAATAGATATGAGTTGATTACAGAGTCCTTAATTCCAGATCGATAACTACCTGTAAGATACATTAATAATGTTATTAAATACCAATTGTACAGATGAGGGTAGATATGACTGAAAATAGATCACGATAGATGTGAAAGATAGAGAACTCTGTAATTAACTTATATGATCGCTCATCATCGATGTTGAAGTAAGTTGGGAATCATGCAGATTTTATTAAGTCTTTAGTACTTCAGCTGAATTTCAATTTAAAAAAACGTCTTTAATAAATTTTTATTCAAGAAAAATTATAAAATATATCATCATTATACTTCTAGCGAACAAAAGAATTCTTTGTTATTTTGAACATTTCAGTTAAGTTCTTCCTTTGATAGTGACACATTCAGGCTTACCGATCAGCAGGAGTGGAAGGTTCAGCTGCCACCAAAATTTCAAACACTGTCTGCAAAAACTCTTAAAATTTTGTGGTAAAAGTTTGCAGAAAACTGGTTTTAACGCCCCTCAAAAAATGTCCATTTTCGCTAGAATTTTCTTTTTGATGCTGTCTTTTTTCCAAAATTTTTGATAAATCTTGTCACGTACTACTTGAAAAATAGGTCTCGCATCTTCAGCGAAGGTCAACTACAACACGATATAAAGTCGAATTTTCTTTTTGTCTTTGTTTGAAAGAGCATGAAAAACTGCAATGCCTATGAAAGTCGGTTTTTTTTAAATAGACTTTGCTTTTATGATATTGAAAAGTGCCTTCTGAATTAGAGCACCATTTTTTGAGAGTTTTTTCAATAATCGAACTTGATAGGATCCTTTTTCCCTTAACAGATAAGATTGAAAAAAAGCTCTCATAAGCACTGTATTCGTATATGCTCTTTCAGACAAGAAAAATTGAGTATATATATATTGAAGGGTCACTGAGAACTTGAGGGTGTGGGTGGGTGTGGGTGTGGGGTGTGGGTGTGTGGGTGTGGGTGTGGTTGTGGGTGAGTGGGGTGCGGGTGTGAAGAGCAAATGACACCCACACCCATACCCATACCTACACCCACACGCCACATCGACACCCACACTCACACCCAAAAACGCTACCTAATATTTTTTTGGATATAAAAAGAAAGCAAAATTTTTGTATCTTGATCCAATGTGATAGTTTTGTGGAGTAATATGGAAGTTTGTTCGAATAAATAAGAACTCGGTATATTCACCTATAATTTAAAAAAAAATTATTGGTAAAGTTAAATGAAATAGCATAGATATACGAAAAAACTTTTGGTAGGTGACTTTTGAGGCACCCTGTACCTTATCTCACTCAGTTTTCATTCACAACAGGAGTCTGTTGTCAGCTTAAATTGTTTAATGAAGGTAGACACGAAAGAAGTTCTCAATACGACATAATAGACATCCAATTGCATGAAACAAAAGAAAACGTATGATAACCGGACTCAACTTTTAGTTACTCGTTGTTATGTTGACTTGAGAATACTTGGAGACGGGGTGTGGGTGTGGGTGGGGTGTGGGTGTGGGTGGGGTGTGGGTGTCGGTGAGATGTGGATCCGGGTGTATGGATGTGGGTGTGGATGTTGACGTGGGTGTGGCTGTGGCTGTGAGCGCGAGTGCGAGATTCTTACAGATGCCCACACTCCCACCCTAGACCCACACCCACACCCATACTTCACACCCCAGACCCACAACCACACCCATACCCCACACCGACACGCACCCATACTCACACCGACACCCACACACCCAAATTTCGCAAAGTTCGGTGTATAAGTAAGTCTCTAGGTTAAAAACAAATCTCCGTCCAATTACTGCAAGGAAAAAGCTTAAGCAATCTTTTATTGATTGAGAAAAAAGGTATTGCCTCTTCGTATTGCAGCAATAAAAGCCAAGTTTCTTTTGTTTGGCTTTTATCTTGTGGGTGCGCTACTTGATTTAGGATATCGTCAAATGAAAAAAACGCGACTTTACGGCAATAAATACGAAAAGAAAGTGACATTATCTTGAAGTCATCAAAAAGTAGAAGGAGATAAAAAAGAGTACGTCACTCCATCATGTCGAGTCGGAAAAAAGCATAATTTATTGTATTTTCGATCCAAATGTAAGTTTTTATTTATTGTCTGTTGTTTCATAAGATATCAAAGATAATTTTCCATCTACCTATATTGCGACATTATCGAATTAAGAAATCAAAAGAAAAAGCGTTCTATCCTTACATTGATCCTCAATCAACGATCAAAAGCACAATTTTGACTATGGAAGAAGATATTGCTATAATATGGTATGATTCCGACACTGATACATCTACGATGACAACAGAAGGAAAACTATTATTACATCAGCAATCAAAGTTTCATTCAGCTGTGTATACTGATCTACAATCCTGCGTGAGTTACATAGAATCAATACCAAAAGGCGATATCTATTTTATCACAACGATTTCGGATGCGCGGGATATTTTACCGCTTATTCATCAAATGCGGCAAATCAATTCAGTTTTTCTTGTGTCCTTTTTCAACGAAAACACTGAGAATTTGTTGAATAATTATTCGAAAATAATCGCTTGTTTCTACGATCTGAACACATTGAGTGAATCATTGAGTGAATCACTCAAAGAAAATATTGAATTAGCTCAAAAACAAAAGATGACCTTTTCCTTCTACAATCAACATAAAAAACCAACTCGTGAACTATCAAAAGAATCCGCCTTATTTCTTTGGTTTCATTTATTCAAAAATGTTTTAGTGAACATGCCGAGTAGTGATAAAAATGCGAAGCAAGATCTCGTTGATTTCTTACAACAACGGTATCATAATAATAACAAACAAATTAAATTAATTAAAGAGTTCCAAAGAACATACAAGCCAGATGATGCTATCCGCTGGTATACGGGTCAACCCTTCCTTTATAGAAATTTGAATAAAGCCTTGCGTACCGAAGACATTGAACAATTATATACTTTTCGGTTTTTCATTTCGGATTTGTGCAAGAGTTTACTACGTGAATTTCAAATTATCAAAGAATATGAGCCTAAGGTAACCCTCTATCGTGGCACACGTATGTCCATTGATGAATGTCAAAGATTGAAAGAGAATGAAAAACAACTGATATCGATGAATGGCTTTCTATCCACTAGTCTCTCAATAGAAGTGGCTCTTACATTTGCTGACAAATCTGATGATACAAATCAAGCTGTTTTATTCGAAATTGAATGTGACTTAAGTCAAGTACAAACAATTGTCTTGGCTCGAATCATCGAGTTCAGCACAAATAAAAGTGAAGAAGAAGTGCTCATTGATATTGGAGCTGTTTTTGAAATACTCTCTGTAGAAGCAAATGAGAAAGTAACAGTGGTAAAAATTAAGGCCACAGATGAAGGAGCAAAGATTTCTAAAAGCTACTTAGAAATAAATCAAGCAGAAATGAAAGAGAAAAATGTTCGTATCATCTGGGGTGATCTCCTCTTAGATATGGGTCGCTGCAACGAGGCTCTGCGATATTTTCAGAAGATACAAGCTTTAGATGATACTATCGATGATTGGCAACTACATATTCATATTGGTCATGCCTTACTGGTCAAAGGTTTGTACAATGAGGCTCTATCAGAGTATCTTTATGCAAAAGAGCTGTGGGAAAAACAAGAATCGACACGGAACGTATCCATCTTGTCTCATATCGCTAACGTCTTGAGTAGAAAAGGGAATTATGATGATGCGCTTGATATTCTCAATCAAAGTTTGGATATTTACAAAAGTCTTCCGACAGTAGAACATGACAGAATCTACTATCATGATATCGCTGCTTTCCTTTCTAGTATTGCACGATGTTATTTTTGTAAAGGTGAATACGATCTAGCAATCACGTATCACAATCAAGCCTACAATATACGAGAAAGTTATTATTCAAGTGATCATTTCAAAAGCGCATATGATTTGGGCACAATTGGCTTTATCTATAATAGAAAAGGTGATTACAAACGTGCATTGCACTACTACTCTCACGCTACATCAATTTATGAAATAACTCTTCCATCCGATCATCCAATGTTTATTTGTCACCTAGCTGACATCGGTAAAACTCTCGAAGACCAAAATAAAAAAGAAGACGCATTAAAATATCTTCGACGGGCTCTTGCCCTACAGCAGAATACTTCTTCTGACACTCCGTTGAGCATTGCGTTCACTGCTGACCTTCTTGCTCAAATCTCTTTTATCGAGAATAGCGCAGAAAACACTCTTGAGCTCACTCAGCGTGCTCTAGAAGCGAAACGAATGTGTTTTAACGAAAATGATCCTGATATAGCAAATGATTTAACAACTCTAGGTAACATTCTCAAGGACCAACAACGATACGATGAAGCAATGTATAGCTATACACAAGCTGCAGCTATCTATGAAAGAATTTGTCCAAATGGACATCCTGAAAGTGCTGTCATCCTACATGGCATTGGTTTTATCTATCAAACACATGGCGATTGCGAAACAGCTCTTTCTTATTACAAAAAAGCTCAAATGATCTATCAGAAGCATTTTTTTCCTGGCAATTCGAATTTCATACGTCTTTTATTGTGCATTGCCGAAGTGTGCCAATCTCAAGGCAATTATTCTCTTGCTATTGATTCTCTTAAAAGTTGCCTTACTACAATAAAAAAATTCTGTCCTTCCGATGATTCACTTGTTTCAAAAACGTACT